TACTTACTGGGCTCTAGATCTCACGTTTAAAATTTCATATAAATGGTGTTTTTCAGTCCCGTTTACTTTAGCTCTCTCTACAGGAAATAGTTTTTTTATAAGAACTCAGTTTTTTATGAGTAGTTTCTCTTCAGGAACTGGTTTAGTTTGATGAACATAAAAATCCGAAGCCATTTGGAATACTCCATAGGCTAAAAATCATGGGTCGCAGGTTACATAGTGCAGCTGTGGGCCTGAAACATTCTGCTGGATGAGTAAGGCCATCCACGAGAAACCTGGGCCTGGTCCACACAGCACTACAGTCTTGAACTGGTCCTTGTCATTTCTTTGCAGATGTGACCCACTAATGAATTGGTTGTGACCCCTCTGCAATGATCCTGGCAAGGCTTCCCCTGACTCCTTAAGAAAAAAAATTTTTGTTTTACTTAAACCAGGTTCAGATATTTGTCATTTTTCTCTAGGTTATGCTAAAATAACAAACTATCAATAACAGTAGCCAGACAAATAAAAAACAATAACAAACCAAAAATGGCTGTGGCTTACAATACTGTATGTTTATTTTTTGCTCATGTTCATGTGTTGGTTTTGGATCAGTTGCCGCTCTGCTGCTCTGTTTCCTACGTCTTCGCCACCCTGGGCTCTTGGTCTTGTGAGAGGGAAAAGTAAAAGATGGTTGAATTGTGCATCGACTTCCAAAGCTTCTCCTTGGAAATTGATACTTCGCTTCTGCTCACATTCTGTTGAGCAAAGCAAGTCCTATGGCTAAGCCCACAGTCAATGGAAGGATAAGTATTAGTTCTCCACAGGGAGGTGTAGCAAGTCACATGGCAAAAAGCATAGATAGTCAATCCTTTTACAGGGAGGAGAGTGAATAATTATGAAAAATAACACAGTCTATCCTAGTTCACAAGCACTAAGGAAAGAGATTTTGGTGGGGGGTGTGCAAACATACGACATCCTGGAATATTCGAATGCGAGATGTGCTGCAACAGCATTGGGGTCACTTTAGAGCATTTGATGAATTTTGTTTTTGTATCTCTTTCAAAGGGATTATAGTTCAAGTATGGCCATGTCTGGGTTCCAGGGAGAATACAGGCTTTCAGAATTAATAAGGTTTCATTTCCACAGAGAGAGAAACAGAGCCAAAATCAATTGCGCCTTCTAGGTTTGGGGCCCTTGAGCCCTATAAGTTCCTCTTAAAACATTTGTACCGCAGCTGCCTCTCTCCTTGCTAAGATCCTTGAATTTCATTAGTCAAGGCCCAGGGGAATGGCCCACTTCAGCTCGCTCCGTTGCTATTTGGCTGTTTTTCTTCCTTCTTGTCATCTTCTAATGCGCAAAACAGAAAAGAGAGACTCCAGTCTTTGCGGGAGCACATAGAAGCCTGGAGGATTAGGGAGCAGGAAGATACCTCACTCTGTGTTTCATGCTTTCTGGTTTTCAAGAACTGTAGTATGTCTGTACCTCTAACAAAACTTGAACCCTCACACTGCACCTTGGAATTAATAAATCAACAAGAATTTGTCAAATACCTACTTGCAAAGTTTTTTATTAGATGCTAAGGAGGGTTCAAAGGTTTTCACCTCCCTCAGAGATTTGCTGTTCAGTTAGAGAGAAATTTAGCATAACTTTACTACAGTATGTGAAATTTGTGTTATAGATGTTGTAAGAGTTCGGAGAAGGGAACTGGTATGAGCCTGAGTCAGGGGAGAGGCATGTGATTTTTTATGTCTGTGCAAGACTCTATCATATGGCTGAATCATAATTTATTTAATCATTCCACTATTATTAGACGTTTAGAACAGTTTCAATTCTTGTTATAATAGAGCGTACTTTGATGTGGATCCATGTGCATCTTTGCCTGCATCTTGAAAATGATAGAAGGTTAGACGTGAAATACTCCTAACACATGTGGTCAAGTTATTTTCCATAACTTTATACTTCTACCAGTTACGGTTGAGAGTAACTCTGTCACCGTACCCCTCCCAGCTTTGAATACCATACTTTTAAAATCTTCTCTGTACTGCCTGTCCCCCTTGGCCTAGATAATTCCTACTCATCCTTCAGGTCTCAGCGTAAAGATTATTCTGCTGAGAAGTTTTCAATAATCCCCTGTGAGTTCAGAGTCTTTGGTTAAGCCAGTGGTTCTCTACATTTTAAGACCTTTTTGTATCACTTTTTCACTGTTCAGAAATGAAACGCATTGACGGCGTAACCTCTCTACACACACTATATTCAAAAAATGTAAAGTTGCAAGTACAACATTAAGGAGAAATAAATGTAAAATCGCATTTATTTCAGTATGTGAAAAGCCTGGGTAAGCTCCACTAGAAGACAAAATGAAGCAGTCAGTTGTCTGTGCCCTAAATTGTTGTAAATGCTACAGTTCAAACACAGGCTGACACGGTTATGTGGGTTGGTGGCTAATTTTTCTGAAATGGTGACCAACTCTTGGCAGATGTCCGGGAGGAAAAAAAAAAGCACTTCAATTTACACTCTACTTATAATCGTGGAAAGTTCAGTGTGCATTACATTGTGCAAAAATATTTTACACTTATATGTAAAATAGAGCTAGATTTTACACCTAATAACAGAACTTTCACTTATATGAATGCCACGCAGGATTTAGGAGAATTGTTGTGTGTGATTCCACATTTCAGGCTGTCTAGTGTCATTGGTCCCTAGACACTAAATGCCAGTAGTGCCCCACTACCGGTGTTTTAATTGTCATTAAAACAAAAACAAAAACAAAAAAAATGCCCTCACTAATTTCCCAAACACCTGACCATGGTCCCCCCTGAGAACCACTGGCTAAGTAGTGATGCAGCACCCTGCACTTTCTCAAACGTCACACTCATCATACTTTAAAGATGTTCTTGTCTGTCATAAATTCCTGTGAGTAGTGACTGTCTTTCACAATTCTATCTCCAGCGCAGGTCCTGGTATTTATTCATATCTTGATAATGCTAATTAAGTGAATGAATTAATATTTGGATGGCGAGATCCTCCAGAATAATTTTATAGAACAGGAGAAGTATGAACATCCATTTAATAATTCCTGATCATAGTGAGAAGCCTCCAGTGTTTTACTGCTAAAAATGTCAAGCGTAACAACAGCTACCCTTTGGTCAACATTTTCCATTACCAGGCATCTTGCTAAGGAATTTACACTATTGTTTTACCTATTTGCTTCAACAACCCCATGGGCTTAGATGATGTAGTAACTTGCTCAAGGTTATTAAGTGAGGAGATTTATAAGTGAAAGGTGGGATTTGAACCCAGGTCCATAGACTGTGTTCATGGCCACTACACTATAAGATATTGGCTGTTGATTTATAACTGGTAGATTTTATTATATGAAGGAAATTTTTCTTTTTCTCCTGACTTTCTAAGTTTTGTTTTTAATAAGTCAGAAATGCTAACAAACGTTTTTACATTAATGGAGCTATCTCATATGGTTTATCTTATTGGATTTACTGATGAAGTCAATTTATAACTTATATATAATTTCCAACATTCCTTGCATTACTATTATTCCTATATTTGATTTGGTATCTAAGGCTAACAATGAACTGTGAATTCATTTCTTTAGGGCTGTGTTTAGGATTTTTGTGTCTATTCTATATTAATAGGTGAGATCGGTTTATTGTTTTCATTTCTATTGTCTATTTTGGGATTTGATAACAGGGTTCAGAGAAAAATTAGTTGGGAATTGTTCTATGTTTGAATGTATCTTAGAACAAATTATATATGGGAATTATCCCTTCCTTAAAAGTTTAAAAGAACTTACCAAGTAGAGCATCTTCTGAGAGTTTATCTTCTTTTGGGAGGGGGAGAATAATTATTTGATAATGTTTTCAATTTTATCTATGGCTTATGTCTGTTCAGATTTTTTCTTCTCCTTCAGATAATTTTAGTAATTTATTTTTTTCTGGAAATAACCCATTTAAATATTCAATATATTAGCATAGTGTTGTATGTAGATTTATTATGTTTTAAAAATTCCTTGGTATATGTCTTTGTCATTTTTAATTTTGTATATTTGTGCTTATTTTCTGTTTTATTTATTATACTGGCCAGAGATTTGTCTTTTATATCCTCACTCCCCAAAATCTTTCAGAAAAACCCAGTTCTGGAATATATTTATGAATTATGCCTTCTTCAGTATTTTATTTATTGTTTTGCCTTTATTTTTACTTTATTCTTTCTCATTTTATAGCTTATTTCTAATGTTTTAACTCCTTAGTTTTTTTTTCTCTCTCTCTCTCTCTTTCATCTACCTTTCTGTCTTTTTTTTCTTTCTATAATGAAAACAGTTTTGTACATGACTTCCTCTAATTACAGATTTGGCTAACACTTGTATGGTTTTTTTTTTTTTTTTTTTTTGAGACAGAGTCTCACTCTGTTGCCCTGGCTAGAGTGCTGTGGCATCATCCTAGCTCACAGCAACCTCAAACTCCTGGGCTCAAGCGATCCTACTGCCTCAGCTTCCCGAGTAGCTGGGACTACAGGCATGCGCCACCATGCCTGGCTTATTTTTTTATTTTAGTAGAGACGGGATCTCCCTCTTGCTCAGGCTGGTTTTGAACTCCTGAGCTCAAACAATCCGCCCGCCTTGGCCTCCCAGAGTGGTAGGATTACAGGCGTGAGCCAGCGTGCCCGACCTTAACACTTGTATGTTTTGATATGTAATATTCTCATTTTTTATTGTTTTCTAAGTCACCCAAAATTGTAAATTTATTTCCTCTTTGACATTGTGGAAATTGTACATCTTTAAAGTTCTTATGCTTTTGGATTTTATTGGCTTACAATTTTATCAGTATTTAGTGTTACTGTATTAAGCTAAAAAATGACCCACTGACTACTTTTAAAAATAATGTAAATATGTAACTCAAATTAGATTATCACCCATTTTGAGTCTTCCATTTTCCCATCTCCAAATAATTGACAAGGTAATTTTTTTGATGAGTATTGCAAATCTATTTTATTTTTCTGTTTAGGTTCGAGATGATGAAACCTTACTTGGAAAAGTCTGTGACAATGGAACCATCTCTCACATTAAATCCATCACCAATAGGATCTGGATAAGGTTTAAAATAGACGCTTCTGTTGAAAAAGCTAGTTTCAGAGCTGTTTATGAAGTTGGTAAGGAAGCTTGTGCTTAATATTTAAATGTTTAATTTGCCTGATTGAAGCATTTTAATTTTTTGAAATAATTTAGTCATTTAATGTCCTCAAGTGGAGAGGAAAATATTCTCATAGAAATGTCATATTCAATTATCTCCTTAGGCAGTGTTGGGTTTTGCAATAAAATTGAAAAGAAGAATTATTTATCTCCGGAAAAACACTACTATAATTTTTATATTTACAGCTTGTGGGGGTGAATTAACTGGAGAAGGGGTCATTCGCTCGCCCTTTTATCCTAATGTGTATCCTGGAGAAAGAGTCTGTAGGTGGACCATCCACCAGCCCCGAGGCCAAGTAGTTCTTCTCAACTTCACTGACTTTGAAATTAGAAGTTCTGCCCACTGTGATACGGATTATATTGAGGTAAGAATAAAAAAAAAATTTGTATTTGGTTGTATATTATTAAAAATATTACCTCATGTTATTCTTAAATCTGTTACATGAAACAAAAGTAGTTTGTACAGACCAATATCTCTTACAAATATAGATGCAAAAATCCTCAACAAAATACTAGCTTGTTGAAGTCAGCATATAAAAAGGATTAAGTGAGATTTATCTCAGGAATTCAAGGTTGGCATAACATCCAAACATCAATTAATGTAGGACATGGTATCAATAAAATAAAGGACAAAAAACCACACGATCACCTCAGTAGATGCAGAATTTGGATTTTGCTGGATTTGACAAAATCCAATAATCTTTTCGTGATAAAAACACTCAACAAACTAGGAATAGAAGGGAACTCTCTTAATCTGATAAAGGACATCTATTTAAAAAACCCACATCTAACATCGTATTTAATGATGAAACACTAAATGCTTTGCCTCTGTGATCAGTAAAAAGACAAGGATGTCTGTTCTACCACTTTATTCAACATACACTAGAAATTCTCATATTGGAAATTAAGCAAGGAAAAGAAATGAATTGCATCCAGAATGGAAAGGAAGGAGTAAAACTATCTCTATTCACAGATAACATGACCTTGTATATAGAAAATCATAAGAAATTAACACACATAAAAAACTATTTTTAGAACTAATATACAAATTCAGCAAGTTGTAGGTTAAAAGATCAAAATATAAAATCATTTCTTTTTCTATACACTAGCAAGGAACAATTTGAAAATAAAATCGAGGAAAAAATTCCGCTTATAATAGCATTAAAAACAGTGAAGATTAAGGAATACACTTGAAAAAAAATGTAAAACTTGTCCTCTGAAACGATAAATCATCATTGAAGGAAATTAAAGAAGACCTAAATAAATGGAAAGACATTTCATGTTCATGAATTAGAAGACTTAATATTGTTAAGATAGCAATATTCCCCAAACTGATCTAAAGATTCAATTCAATCCCTACAAAAATCCCAGCTGATTCTCTTGCAGAAATTCACAAGCTGATTGTAAAATTCATATGAATATGTAAAGGAACCAGAATAACCAAAGCATTCTTCAAAAAGAACAAAGGTGTAGGACTCACACTTTCCAATTTCAAAACATAGAACAAAACGACAATAATTGAGCATTGATGTTGTTGGAGTAAGTACATAAATATAGATCCATGGAACAGAACTGAAAATTCAGAATTAAACCCCCATGCTTTTAATGGCTGATTGATTTATGAAAATGATGCCAAGTCATATCAGTGGGGAAAAATAGTTTTTTTTCAACCAATTGTGCTGAATATCCACATCAAAATTACGAATTTGGATGTATAAAAAAATTAACTAAAAATAGATTATAGACCTAAATGTGGGAGCTAAAACTATGAAACTCTTACATGAAATAGGAGTAAGTACTTGTGACCTTGGGTTAGGCAAAGCCTTCTTGGATATGACACAAAAAGCACAAACAACAAAAGAAAAAATTAAAAAATTAGATTTATTCAAAATTAAAAACAACCTGATATTTTAAAAGGAGAAAGGATATGAATAAACATTTCTTCAAAGAAGGTATACTAATGGACAATAAGCACGTGAACAGATGGCTCAACATTATTGGTCATTAGGAAAATGTAAATTGAAACCGCAGGGAGGTACCACTTCAGACCCACTAGGATGGTTGCAATCAAAAAGTCAGATAATAGCAAGGATTGGCTGGGATGTGGAAAACCTGAAACACTTATGCACTGCTAGTAGGGATGTAGCCACTTTGGAAAACAGTTGTCAGTTCCTCAAAAAGTTAAACATAGAGTTACCATCTGGTCCAACAATTCTGCTCTTAGGTATATACTTAATGAGAATGAAAATAAATGTCCACACAAAAATTTGTATATGAATATGCTTATAATCATTATTTATAATAGCATATGCAAATGGCACATGCATTATTCTCAATTTAAAAGTAGAAACAAAAATTTCCATCAATTGATAAATGGATAAATAAAATGTGCTATCCCCTTACAATGGAAATTATATGGCATGAAAAATGAATGAAGTAATGATACATATTACAACATAGATGAACTTTGAAAACATTATACTACATGAAAGAAGCTAGTCATAAAAGACCACATATTGTATGCTTCCATTTGCTTAAAATGTCCAGCATAGACAATCTATAGCGATAGAAAGTGGATTAGTGGCTGCCTGGGGCTCTGGTTTCAAGGGAGTTGGGAGTGACTGCTAATGGACATGGAGTTTCTTTTGGGATGACTAAAATGTGGTAAAATTGATTGTATTTTCAAATTGATTTTTACTATATTAAAAACATTTCAGAAACAATTATTCTTAAAGCAGTTTTCTAAAATAGATGTCCAACAAAATTGAATACTTCTTTTCTATTTTAGATCGGTAGCAATTCCATTTTGGGTTCCCCTGAAAATGAAAAGTATTGTGGCACAGACACACCTTCGTTTATAACATCCGTGTACAATTTTCTTTACATCACATTCGTGAAAAGTTCTTCTACTGAAAATCGTGGTTTCATGGCTAAGTTCAGTACTGAGTATTTGGGTAAGAGATTGTTTCTTTTTGCTCCTCTTGGGCGTATATCAGAATAAGTGAACTATGGAAATAAATTATTATATAAAATCATCTATGCTGTGAAAAACTTTGAAGCACATTCAAAGATAAAGAATATATATTTCATAATCAACACATATCAATAGTTAATTTGGTATCTGTTAATAAAAGAAAAACTAAGTTATCTTAAGTGGTATATAAGAAACATTTTTTCTTTTTGAACTTTTAAGAAGTTATGATCAGAGTATTTTATTTTGACATCCAGAGAGATTGTTGGTTACTTGTGATAATTATTATAATTTTTATTTCAACAGCATGTGGAAAAATTCTTACAGAGTCAACAGGAGTCATTCAAAGTCCTGGCCATCCAAATATCTACCCCCAGGGTATCAACTGTACCTGGCATATATTAGTCCAACCTGACCACTTGATTCGTTTGATATTCGAAAGATTTCATTTGGAATTTCATTATAATTGCACAAATGACTACCTGGAAGTTTATGACACTGACTCTGAGACATCTCTTGGGAGGTGAGGTTATTATTTTTATTTTTTTTAACACAAAAACTTTCTGTTTTCTTGCTTTCTTGCTTCGGTGAAGGATGTTAAGATCCACCATGCTGTGTTATAAAAATCAGTTGAGATCTTCCTTCTTCTCAATGACCATTTCTACATACTACTATGTAGCCTTGGCTTTAGTAATTAAGTTTTGACATGTCTATACTCATGAAGGCATTATTAAAATCAAAATAATGTACATATCCATCACCCCAGAAACTTCCTGCCGATTGTAATTCCTCACTTCTGCCCCCCACCCGCAAACGCAGGAAACCACTAATCTGCTTTGTATTCCTGTAGATTAGTTTGCGTTAATATATTCTGAAATTACAGAAATGGATCTACTCTACTCTACACTTTGTCTGGCTTTTCTCAACGAGCATAAATTTTTGTGTTGAGCTTCTTGGATCTGAGGGTTTGTAGTTTTATTGAATTTGGAATATTTTTGGCCATTAGATCTTGAAATACTTTTTCTGTCTCCCCTCCCCTTTGTTGGACTCTGCATGTATATTATGTCACTTAAAGTTGTTCCACAACTCACTGATATTCTCTGTTCATTTGATTTTGAGCCTTTGTTCTCTGTTGGTTTCATTTTGGAAAGTTTCCATTACTATGTATTCACGTTCACTCATCTTTTGTTTTGCAAGTCTAATCTGCTATTACTCCTACAAAGTATATTTTTCACCTTAGACATTGTAGTTTTCATTTGTAGAAATTCAGTTTGGGTCATTTTATACATATTCCATGTCTCAACATATTGATTTTTTTTCCTCTAGGGATGGGATACAGTTACATTTTAATGACTTAGTCTACTAATTAAAACATCCATATCATTTCTTGCTATGTTTTTATAGATTGATTTTCCCTCTCATTATGAGTCATACTTTCCTACTTCTTTTCATGCTTGGTGATATTTGATCGGATACCAGACATCTTCAATGTATGTTTTTGGGCACGGGACATTATTATATTCCTATAAGTATCCTTGAGCTTTGTTCTAGAATGCAGTTACGTTACTTGGAAACAGGTTGATCCTTTCCAGTTTTTCTTTTAAACTCATTTCCTGTCCCTGAAGGGTCGTCATCCTTTATTGCTTCATATCCGGTGTCTTGAGAACCATTGCTTTTTTTTTTTTTCAACATATTATGGGGGTACAGATGTTTAGGTTACGTATGTTGCCCTTGCCTCCCCCCTACCCCCCAAGTCCGAGTTTCAAGCGTATCCATCCCTTGGATGGTGCGCATTG